CTTGTTCCAGTATTTCTTCTTGCTGTTGTTATTGTTGTCATTGTTCCCTTTGGTTGGTTCAGTTACGATAGTCGTGACTCCTTGGCAGACGCCATGATCCACAAGAGATTGCGCCAGTTCTTTGGCACTGTCGAAGGTCATGGGCTTGGAAGCTAGCACACTTCCTCGCAGTTGGGGTGATAATCCCCAGATGTACCTCTCCACTTTTTGGCTTTCTAGAATCAACATCCCAGGACAAAGTGTTATCAAATCGCTGAACCTATTGGTGTAGCCTGCGATGTCCGATCCTTTCATCGAAAGGTTCCACAATTCTTGTTCCAGCTTCTGAATCTCGCCCCTTGGGCAGTATTCCCGTAGGAGCATTCGCTTCAAATTCTCCCAACCCATGGAGTTTGCCACCACCAGGGTTAGTGTCTTGACGTGGCCGTTCCACCATGTCAAGGCGCGTTCAGAGAATGTACAGGCAGCAAATTTTACTTTGCTTTCTTCCGGGCATGCGCAAATTTCAAATACGGCTTCCGTTTTCTCTATCCATTGGGACAGAGCCAATACTCCTCCAGTTCCATAAAAGGGAATAGGTTTTCCATTAGTGAAGTCTTTGTAAGTGCAGACTCCAGTACGGCCTTGGCTTGGGCCGTTGGTAAAGCTATTTATTCCACCTCCCGACCCATTGTTGCTCATTTGAGCCATCGCCGCGGTTACAGCGGCCGTTACAGCAGTTTGGAACATAGCTGCATCCATAGTTGGAGGAGGTGGTGGAGGTGGTGCTGGAGTTGAGTTTCTGCGTGTTGTTCTACGAGGAGGCATGTTCTGGTAGAGAAAATAAGAATGAATACTATAAGTTTCTAATGTTTTGACAATCGTGTAGTTGAGGGTTAGTCGTATCTTGTAATTTGTTTTGACTTTAGTTTTTGGTTTCAAATTAGATATAACAATTTAATTAATTTCGAGAGGTATATAAAGAGGCACTGCATATATATATATATATATATATATATATATATATATATATATATATATATATATGTCACACCTAAGGTGTGTTTCATTATGCTTCTAGGAAAATTTGACCTATAAGAGGTCTCCGTTTACAGATACAAAAGAAAATAAGAGAAAAACTTTATCCGCGGTCCTAGTCTATATCAAAATTTGTTGGAGCTTGAACAAACTCTACTTGTGGCGTTTGGAGCTGGATTCGGCATCTGACCGTTTGACTCCCATCAGTCGCCTCTCGAATTCCGCTTGTTGTTCTTTCATCTCTCTTATATCATCTAGAGCTGTTATCATTTGGTTCTGTAGTGTCCCCGTGTAGATTTGGATATTCTCATGTAGTCCTTCCAAACGGCTGATGTCGGAGGCGTTACCTTGGGTAGCAGCATTGATCTCTCGAATTCTGGTTGCTTGTTGGTCTGCCTGGTAGTTCTGGTTAGCTATAGCGTTCACGACAACGGGAAGTGCTCGATCAGCTGAGCCTCCTCCACTGACATTGTAAAAATCCCGACACATGCCAAATGGAGGGCGTACACCTTGCTGACGGCTCCAGTAGTAGAGGTGGCTTCCCCAGATGGGAATGGGTCCCGGTTGATGTGGCCTGATCACTGGAGGATGGGGGATGGGAGGGTCGATTACTTCTGGTTCGGAATCTGTTCCGCTAGAAATTTCCACGATCTCCTCGTCGACTTCGTATTCCTCTCCGACTTCGATTTCGAATTCTTCTTCGACTTCTTCTTCGATTTCTTCTTCTGGGTCTTCCTCCGGGTCTTCTTCTATCCAGCCGCCGTTACCTTGATTTAGGTAGTAGGGGTCTCCCGGTAAAGGAAATCCGGCCATTTGTCTGTACTGGGATAGAGGTATGAGATTTTTATAAGAAAAGAAATTTCTAATTAACGACTTCCTAAGCCTATTTATATCTTTACTGAGCGCAATGTTTTATCGTTTAATAATAGACTTATATTATTTCAATTTAGCGAATTTAGATTTTATAAGTTTTTGGCTTGTTGACTACTACGACCATTCCTCGACGTATATTGGTCAAATCCAGGATAAATATAGTTGATCAGGCTATATTTATTCTTGATTTGATTACATACCCCAAGGCTCGATCGTGGTATTGCAACTTGCCATACTACTTTTTAGAAAAACTTGTCATGACGCGAGACTGATACGTGCGGTAAAAATGTATATATTTAAAAGAAAATATATTTCTATGAAAATGTTGTTATCAGAGGGTTTTTGGTTCCCGTTGTATTTATAGTTTGTATATCTTATGTGGTTTGATATACTTAGTTCACTATAAACAATGCTCTGATACCAATCTGTCACACCCCCAAACCAGAATGGCGGAAACATTCGGGGGTGGATGACTTCACGTAGTATCACAACGATTGAATATTGTAAAGAAAGTAACACAACCATCATATATATAAAATGAAAACGTATATTGTTGCGTTATACATGTTATCAAAAGAATATTACAATATGATGATAAATGTTTAATGATAAAAACATCCTTTGTGTTCCTTCTTCCAAAAGCTGGTAGTTTACCTGTATCACTGATTCCCTGAGAAATACAAGTGGTTTTGAAAAGTGTCAACAATTAAGTTGGTGAGTTCATGAGTGTTCCGAGTTGAAAAGTATATTCCTTTTGGTAGTAATTGGTAAACGAGGTTTTTAGAAAATCCAATATTTTCTTGTAAAATGAAAAAGGTTCCAAAGTTGGAATGTGTTAGTAACTTTTATAAACAATGATGACAATAATTTAGTATGAAATATAATGTAGGAAAACTGCGATGCACATATGAATCTCGTAAATCAATCTTGTTTTATACTTTTTATGTGAGTTTTATAACCATACTATGACACTGACGGCCTGTAACAACATTCTTCAAGTGTTGCAGTGTTATGACATTTGTCACCCCAGACCTGCCGGTCTAACTATAGCTAGTAGTTTAGGTGCGGGATTGTCAATCCCGTATAGATCTATACACAAGTATCACGCTCTCCCTCCAAGAGATTATGGTATATAATACAGGACTTGAAATGCATACAAAAATGTACGTTGAAGTTTAAATGTCTCACATTACCTAGTATAAATAGATTTACAATGAAATGACCTTACTTCTTTTGAAAGTGTTTCGTTTTTCAAATTGTATAAAAATGTAGGATTGACTTGCTAACTATACCCATTATAGTTTTTCAGATAGTATGTTCCATTTCGTAGAATAACTTAGTGATATAATCGCCCTTGTATACATAAGATGTTTGTATCGATATTCGAAGTTAGAAATTGCATTTATGTTTATAAAACGATACTTTTAACGTGTAATGTACTTGTATTTCCCCCCTAAAACATGAAAAAGAATTGAAAAGTAGGGGTATGAACTCACTCGTTAAGTTTGAAGAGAGGGGCTAGAGTTGAGCAGAGTTTCGATCGCGGATAGTTGCGTCGTCGGGCTCTTCGGGGATCTCTGCAACGTAAATCTTTCGTCGGGGGCTCGAGTGCGGAAACCAAGGCAATGAAATGGTCTCTGGAACAGGGAGAAATGCTGAGAAATTGTGAAGGTGTGCCAAAACTCGAGTTTTATGCCCTCTATTTATAGGGCTGAAAACCTCGTACGCGGCGCGTACTTCCGGAGTACGCGGGGCGTAGTCAGTTACGCGGGCGTACTTCGGTTACGCGGGGCGTAATAATGCGTCATGGCTTACGACTCCTGGCTAGCTAGGCGTAGCTTGGGCGGGCCGATGGGACTCGACTCTGGGTCTAGTACGCGGGGCGTACTCCCAGAGTACGCGGGGCGTAATCCCTGCTTCCAACTTCTAAATTCCGTAACTTTCGCGTACGAGCTCCGTTTTTCGCGTTCTTTATATCCACGCGTAGGTGAGATTATGCTCTACAACTTTCATTTAGACTCCGTCGGCTAGTTTTGACTTTATTTTTAATGATATAATTTTAATAGGCCGGGCCTCCTAAAGTTCGTTAAAATTTCATAGGTTCTTTATTCGACGTCGGTTTTCGTTTGTCTTTTGATTGTTTTATTACCACCGAGGAGATCTTCAACTTCCGTTTAGGTGGCGATAGCTAAATAACACTCGATCTTTAATCCGAGTTTTTAGCCCTCTACTACTGTTACGAAACTTTGAAAATTCGTAACTTCTTCATACGAGGTCCAATTTGGGCGATCTTTTTATGCACGCTCATCTTTCAACGAGATCTACGACTTTTGTTTAGATACTTTAAGGCTAAAATGTATTTTATTGAGATTCCACTTTTTACGTCAAATTATGTTTTAACGTCGTGTCGTAATTATACGAGTGGTTATAATTTCTTCAATATAACTCGGTTTTGAGTGTTCTTTATGTTTTTGGAAACCTGGGCATGATATCTAATATTCGATGCATCCCAACTTAGATACCTGAACACTTTATTTTCGAGGTTAATTTCGTTGTTTTTAGCTTTCGAATGTTTACAATGCTTTTGGGAAAAATAGGGTTGTCACACCCCACAGCAATATGTTTAGAGTCATGACTTGTAGTTATTGAAACCACTGCTCCATTCACCTTCACAAGTTTAACACTTTGAACAATATTGCTTCCTTTCTTTGAACTTGCTTGTAAGGACAAAAAACTGCTCTCTATGGCATATGGCTTAGGTTTAAATTTATAAATTCTAACCTATGACATAAAATATTAATTTTAAATTGAAATGTAACATATTTTTACAATATGATATATAGATACTCACTGTTCCAGTTTGATCTCCAGATATGAGGAGGCATGTTTCCATATCATAACACAATGCAGTTAGTGGAACACCACTTAAAGTCTGATCATCTTCACTTTGTTGATTAAATGATACAAATGGAATCAAAAGTGGAGATGATGCATCCCAGAAGTTTATACCACCACTGCTATGTCCTGTTATGTATATGTTTTTGAAATTTGAAAAACTCGTAAAACCAGTTGAAGAAGAAGAAGATGAAGATCTGTCTTTTTGCTTAGACTCAAATGAGAAAAGTGAACGAATCTTTCTCGACATCAACATAAATATTAGCACTTATCAGAAAATTATAAGCAAATAAATACCTTTTGGACATTCCTAAAACACCCATAACATCAGCTTCTTCAATGAAGGCATGTTCAAGGGATTCACTTGCATTATTCAAACCATGGTATTGAGAGTTTCTTATCTGAAAAATGAAAATAATACACAATCAATCACACATGAACAAAACAGAAAATGTTTAACAATGAACCTTGCTAGTAATATAAGACATATTTCAAGCTAGTATGGATATACTTCTCATCAGAATTTGAAGGATTAAAAAAAAAAAAACTAACAGAATGTGAATGACACCTTCAAAACAAGTGCCATTGTTGTTTGAAACACTCTTCTGGACAACATATATATCTTTAATACCCTTGCCTTATCCACTACCATCTAAAGCACCCTGCAAAAGTAAAGGATCAATAAGTTTTTCAGCAAATAAAAAGAGAAAAATAAAAGCATATTCATATCTTCAACTAAAGGAACAATAGAGTGTTAAATAGCTTGAATACTCTAAAAACAAAAACGTATATAGACAACAAAATTAACCTGGTATAATATATGTGGTAATTCACCTTGATTTACAGTATTTTGTTGAGGTGAAGCAACAGAAATAAGGGTTTCCTTCAATTTTCCTAACCCTGTCTTCATGTCCAAATCAAGATTCTTGAAGAATATCTAAAAGGGAAAACCAACATGAGAATAGGTAAAAAATCACAATTGTACATGTGCTACACATACATAGATTCAAACATACTTCAATTGAAAACTTGAGAATTGAGATTTGGCATTGCATGTATTTTCAGCAAGTAATCCAAGAATTAGGTGGTTAATATGCTAGACTGCCTACGCATGGTTCCAAAACCTATAGCAAGGGAATTGAAGTGAAAAGAAGAATTCCAATAACCATAGTGATTTTGAGAATAAACATTAATCAATGGAGTTACATACCTTGGAGGTAACTGGAATTATCCCAATCATTAAACCCTTTCATAAGCCTGCACAAGTTAAAATGTAAACTTATCATATATCGCACCTACTCAAGAAGATGAAAAGAAACAGCTCTTTCAAAAAAAAAAGATGAAAAGAAACAAAATACAACTTGTCTGTATGAGCCTGTTGCATTCCCAAATAACAAATTAAAACCAACAAGGTTCAAAAATACCTCAACATTGTGAAATTGGGAAACAAATAGTGGAATCAGACAAACACAAAGAAACCCTCCGTCTACTATGGACATCGCCTGTGAGAGGCGTCGATTTGGGTGAAAGCAGAGATGTCGAAGAAAAAAGGGGATGAAAATCACTCGTTATTTCTTTGCTTTGCTTCAAGATTCTGAACGTTGGATTAGCTGAGATCAAACCAAAGAATATTTCAAGTCTTCTCTTCAATGGGGTTGGAGCTTATAAGTTGATATTTGGGGTGTGAGGCTTCGATTTCAAGAAAAAAAAAGGCGGAAGAGGAGAAGTTAAGTGAAGCGTTGTTTCAAGAAGGGAAAAGAAGAGGGAAGCAGCAGGCTAGCAATTATAGTATTCCATAATAGAATCCCTAATCTAATAAATTAAAAAAAAAAAAAACAGGTCAAACCCAATAAAAGTGTAAGTTTAATGCAACAAAGGAACTTCCTGCCTCTAGTATATTGGTTAATAGATTAAAACCAAAAGGATTTAATAAGACCTCAAGATTCTGAAATCAGGAAACAAATGGTGGAATCAAACAGGCAAGAAGAAACCCTCTGTCCAATTCCACTGGGAAAAGGGAAAAACCGGTCGTTAAATGGCATAGACACCTGGTTTTACAAGAATGAAATTTATATAAATTAAGGAGTTAAAAATGAAGAAATAAGATGAGAATAATTAATTATTAGGAAACAGGTTCAGAACAGAACAGGATGCTTAGTCACCTGTTCCATCCAAGAATCATAGATAAAGGTAAGTTTTGGTGACATGGCAACTGCTCTATTCCCAGTTTAACCAACCGGTAAGTTTTGGTGAGGTGACATGGCATGTATTTGACACGTCATCAAATGCATACCAACTAGACACCATGTCACTCACCAATAACTTACCAGTTAAACCGGTCAACAAGCGACTCAGGTGGATTGTAGCAATTGGATAAAATCTGAATGACATTGTGAAGAGCAGACAATAATATTACTCTTGCATCACTCATCTTCAGTGCTTCAACAACAGAGATAAAAAGATTATGTTCTTGCCCCTGTGCATCATATCATTAACTATAGTTAAAACCAAAGCTGTGATTATAGACGGAAAAACTTGTACAGTTAAATAAATATATTCACAGCTTTTGTTTTTAAAAGCCTAATAATATTAGCATTTATCATATGATTATAAGCAAATAAATAGCTACCTTTTGGACATTCATAAAACACCCATAACAGTAGCTTCTCAGTTGATGCACATCCCAACTCAAGGTTGTCATCAATAACACGTTGTATGGCATGTTCAAAGGATTCACTTGCATTATTCAAACCATGGTATTGAGAGTTTCTTATCTGAAAAACGAAAATAATACACAATCAATCACACATGAACAAAACAGAAAATGTTTAACAATGAACCTTGCTAGTAATATAAGACAGATTTGAAGCTAGTATGGATATGCTTCTCATCAGAATTTGGAGGATTCAAAAAAAAAAAACTAACTGAATGAGAATGACACCTTTAAAACAAGTGCCATTGTTGCTTGAAACACTCTTCTCGACAATATTTATAGTATATACATATATCTCTTTAATACCCTTGCCTTATCCACTACCATTGGAAGCACCCTGCAAAAGTAAAGGATCAATAAGTTTTTCAGCAAATGAAAAGAGAAAAATAAAAGCATATTCATATCTTCAACCAAAGGAACAATAGGGAAATACCTGAAAAAGACCTTGTATTTTTCCATTTTTTCCAAAAAAGTCCTCAACTTTGAATTTTTTTTTTTGTTTCAGAAAAAAAAAACCCTCATCCTTCTAAATGTTTCCAAATAAACCCTCACATTTTAAAAAATTTTTGAAAAAAAAAACTACCAGGGCCAGATCGGAAAAAATGAAAAAATAAAAGGTCTTTTTCAGGCAAAACTACAAAATATAAGGTCTTTTTTAGATTAACCCTAAACTATTACCTATATTATCTTAGATTTAATTCATATGTAATTTAAAATAAAAAAGGATACATCCATAAACAATTGCAAATTCTTTCCCTGAATACGACCATTGAACATCATGTACAGGTCCTTCTTTTCCTGCAAAAATTATAATAATTAATAATTAAAAAAATATTATCAAATGAAATGTTACATACTTACATTCAGTGTATAAAGAAAGATAAAGTTACGTAAGGGCAGAAGCCCATTATGAGTTTCATCTAAAGTCAAATAATACAGCTTTGACTTTCCATAGTAACTCTACTCTGGTTAGTTTTATCAACATCTGATTGAACCACAACCAGAAGCCTTGTAGAACCATGGTTCCAATGTTAAGCTGTTGAACATCTGAAGAAAGTTCTTGTACTAATGGGTTCACTTTGGGAAGCCTGTGTACATGCATATATCAAGATAAATGAGCTTATATCAACAATTAAGTGGAAATGGAAGCTCTTAAAAAATGATTACTAAGAATTCAAGGTGAGTATTGAATTAGAATGACGAACCTTAGATTCTGGAACAAATACAGCATCATGGGATCCAGGTTGCTTAGAAAGCTCTACTGCAGCTATTCCAGGAATTCTAATCTTATGCACCATGCCTTTTGAAAAATCAAAGAATTGAATTTCATTTGTAGCCATACGAGAAGCAACAGTTTCATCAGAGCTACATCTAATTGATGGCCTGAAGAAGATGTAAGTCAAGTTCAAGTAAAGATGTTTGCAGCTTATACAATTATCAAACCATAAGCAAAAACTACTGTTATACCATGTTCTTCTGGGACATAGTTTAAACTGATTCTCCTGTTTCTGTCTTCCAAAATGTGACGTTTTTTTTTTCTTGTGGTGATGATAGTTTCTGAAAGTAAGTTCCACATGGAGATACAGAGAGAGAGAGGCAGCAAGAGTGTTGGGGGATACAAATGATCTCATCTATTTTGAGGTTTTGGAATCGTAGATGCTAATTGAAGTTTCGGATTTCATCACCATGGGTTTTGGTTACCGTCATCGTATTGAACATGGGTTATTAAGCGGTGATACAGTTATGCTCCTTCTTCTCTGTCTATTTCTCATAATCTCCTTCTCTGTGAAACCTCTTGTGTGAGACCCACCTCCAATTGGTTACCTTTTGAAAAACAAAAAAAAAGATGCTTTTAAAATCGGTCAATGGCTACAACAATAAAAATATAATATGAAAAAATCACCAAGATTCAGATTCAGCTTCTCTTCTTCATAGGGTCAACTTCATTGTCACATTGAACTACTGAATTCCACCACCCTCTACATAAATATATATAAATCATCAAATTTCATATTGAATTTGGTGATTTTACAGCATTTGAACATAATTGTAACTTGGTGTGATGGTAATTTACCTGAAAAGAGAAGTAAAAGACCACATGCTATGTAAAATTTAAGATATTGGTTAAATCGTTTATCTAAAATTTGTTATGCTCATGTATAAGAAAATCTACACAGATACATAACAAATAATATTCATATACAATGAAAACGTACAATTGAGTTAGAATGCTGATGTAAAAAATGTTTATATAGTAATAAACGATATTAACTTTTAAAAAATAAGCAACAGTAGCTGAAAAGAAAACTCTTCAAGCCTTTACTCCACTTGTTTACTTTGAAGGACAAAAAAGAAAGGACAGAAACGCATAGATAAGTTACCTGAAAAGCTTGCCTGTGGGTATAAGAAAGTGTAGGGCAAATTCACCACGAAAACGTACAATTTGACTCCAAAATATCGCTGCTCCAAATTCATATCGAACACCTGTCAGTTGGAGAAACATTGCCCAGAATGATAAATACTTTACAAACAAACAAATGTAAATAGACAATTCCATTAACAATTATTAAAGCAAAACTAAACCAAACGAACAACGTAAATCTCCTCTTGAGAGTAGCAGATAAAAGAAAATTTGAAAAAAAAATAGATTTGGGAGAAATCAATTACTTGTACAGAACATAGAAAAAGAGGGTGGTGGGAATACCTGATTGGATAACTAAACTGGTTTATGTATTTCATCACCTCCAATAAGACACTCATCTTCGGTGCTTCAACAAGAGAGATAAAAGATTATGTTGTTGCCCCTGTGCATCATATCATATCATATAATAGTTAAAACCATGATAATATCACCATTGTGTGAAGCACAAATTGAACTATCAGGTAAAGAATTCGGTTTTGAAGTTGAAAGTGCAAGGCCTCTTATGGATGTTGCCTTCATAAGGGTTAATTCAGGCAAGGATCTGAAAAAGGTAAATAATATCAAAATCATGTGTTTATCGACTTTTTTATTCAATCAAAATCTAACTCCCCTAATTTCGATTTTCCCATTGGTAAAAACAAGAACAAGGCCAGCATCAGAACAACATGTTGAAGCCCAACAACAAATTGAGGAATTAAACTTCTTTTTATAACAAACCTTCTTCACTCCCTGTATATATATAAATATTTTTATATTTAAAATTGAGTATACAAGAGTATATAAAATATGTCAAGAAAATTAATTCTTCAAGTTCTAAAATCTAACCTGAACAGCATGTGAAAGTGAATACACGTAAACAGCTTTCTCAGAACATAGTAGCAATGACTCCTTCACTACCCCATCATCAAACGAATTTCCTATTATACCCTTAGATGCATTAGATCCTCTGCCAGCTGTCCCTTGCTCATCTATATATCATTTGTAACATATAAATAAAGAACAATACAACAAAAAAAAGTATGATTTATTTACTACCTAACATTTGGATTAAAAGAGCTTTAGAAGGTTTTTTAGGATGAACTGATCCATTATTGAGAATATTTCCTGTTTCACATTCAAGTGCCCAAGCTGATGAATCCTTTGTTGCTGCCATTAACACACTTTTCTCAAATCCATGCAAACTACACATCCCAAATTGCAGAGAGATGACAGCTGTCGAGATCTCACTCGCTATTCGCCTTTCATATAACACAGTTGCTCCTCCAATGTCAATCACCGAAACCTTCATCATTTTTTAATTTACGTTAATTTAGTTACAAAAAGGGCAAAAAAGGAAAAAAAATGATATCTTACATATCCTTGATCTGACCCCACAGCAATATGTTTAGAGTCATGACTTGTAGTTATTGAAACCACTGCTCCATTCACCTTCACAAGTTTAACACTTTGAACAATATTGCTTCCTTTCTTTGAACTTGCTTGTAAGGACAAAAAACTGCTCTCTATGGCATATGGCTCAGGTTTAAATTTATAAATTCTAACCTGTGACATAAAATATTAATTTTAAATTGAAATGTAACATATTTTTACAATATGATATATAGATACTCACTGTTCCAGTTTGATCTCCAGATATGAGGAGGCATGTTTCCATATCATAACACAATGCAGTCAGTGGAACACCACTTAAAGTCTGATCATCTTCACTTTGTTGATTAAATGATACAATTGGAATCAAAAGTGGAGATGATGCATCCCAGAAGTTTATACCACCACTGCTATGTCCTGTTATGTATATGTTTTTGAAATTTGAAAAACTCGTAAAACCAGTTGAAGAAGAAGAAGATGAAGATGAAGATGAAGATCCGTCTTTTTGCTTAGACTCAAATGAGAAAAGTGAACGAATCTTTTTCGACATCAACATAAATATTAGCACTTATCAGAAAATTATAAGCAAATAAATACCTTTTGGACATTCCTAAAACACCCATAACATCAGCTTCTCAATGAAGGCATGTTCAAGGGATTCACTTGCATTATTCAAACCATGGTATTGAGAGTTTCTTATCTGAAAAATGAAAATAATACACAATCAATCACACATGAACAAAACAGAAAATGTTTAACAATGAACCTTGCTAGTAATATAAGACATATTTCAAGCTAGTATGGATATACTTCTCATCAGAATTTGAAGGATTAAAAAAAAAAGAACTAACAGAATGTGAATGACACCTTCAAAACAAGTGCCATTGTTGTTTGAAACACTCTTCTGGACAACATATATATCTTTAATACCCTTGCCTTATCCACTACCATCTGAAGCACCCTGCAAAAGTAAAGGATCAATAAGTTTTTCAGCAAATAAAAAGAGAAAAATAAAAGCATATTCATATCTTCAACTAAAGGAACAATAGAGGTTAAATAGCTTGAATACTCTAAAAACAAAAACGTATATAGACAAAAAATTAACCTGGTATAATATATGTGGTAATTCACCTTGATTTACAGTATTTTGTTGAGGTGAAGCAACAGAAATAAGGGTTTCCTTCAATTTTCCTAACCCTGTCTTCATGTCCAAATCAAGATTCTTGAAGAATATCTAAAAGGGAAAACCAACATGAGAATAGGTAAAAAATCACAATTGTACATGTGCTACACATACATAGATTCAAACATACTTCAATTGAAAACTTGAGAATTGAGATTTGGCATTGCATGTATTTTCAGCAAGTAATCCAAGAATTAGGTGGTTAATATGCTAGACTGCCTACGCATGGTTCCAAAACCTATAGCAAGGGAATTGAAGTGAAAAGAAGAATTCCAATAACCACAGTGATTTTGAGAATAAACATAAATCAATGGAGTTACATACCTTGGAGGTAACTGGAATTATCCCAATCATTAAACCCTTTCATAAGCCTGCACAAGTTAAAATGTAAACTTATCATATATCGCACCTACTCAAGAAGATGAAAAGAAACAGCTCTTTCAAAAAAAAAAGATGAAAAGAAACAAAATTACAACTTGTCTGTATGAGCCTGTTGCATTCCCAAATAACAAATTAAAACCAACAAGGTTCAAAAATACCTCAACATTGTGAAATTGGGAAACAAATAGTGGAATCAGACAAACACAAAGAAACCCTCCGTCTACTATGGACATCGCCTGTGAGAGGCGTCGATTTGGGTGAAAGCAGAGATGTCGAAGAAAAAAGGGGATGAAAATCACTCGTTATTTCTTTGCTTTGCTTCAAGATTCTGAACGTTTGATTAGCTGAGATCAAACCAAAGAATATTTCAAGTCTTCTCTTCAATGGGGTTGGAGCTTATAAGTTGATATTTGGGGTGTGAGGCTTCGATTTCAAGAAAAAAAAAGGCGGAAGAGGAGAAGTTAAGTGAAGCGTTGTTTCAAGAAGGGAAAAGAAGAGGGAAGCAGCAGGCTAGCAATTATAGTATTCCATAACAGAATCCCTAATCTAATAAATTAAAAAAAAAAACAGGTCAAACCCAATAAAAGTGTAAGTTTAATGCAACAAAGGAACTTCCTGCCTCTAGTATATTGGTTAATAGATTAAAACCAAAAGGATTTAATAAGACCTCAAGATTCTGAAATCAGGAAACAAATGGTGGAATCAAACAGGCAAGAAGAAACCCTCTGTCCAATTCCACTGGGAAAAGGGGAAAAACCGGTCGTTAAATGGCATAGACACCTGGTTTTACAAGAATGAAATTTATATAAATTAAGGAGTTAAAAATGAAGAAATAAGATGAGAATAATTAATTATTAGGAAACAGGTTCAGAACAGAACAGGATGCTTAGTCACCTGTTCCATCCAAGAATCATAGATAAAGGTAAGTTTTGGTGACATGGCAACTGCTCTATTCCCAGTTTAACCAACCGGTAAGTTTTGGTGAGGTGACATGGCATGGCATGGCATGTATTTGACACGTCATCAAATGCATACCAACTAGACACCATGTCACTCACCAATAACTTACCAGTTAAACCGGTCAACAAGCGACTCAGGTGGATTGTAGCAATTGGATAAAATCTGAATGACATTGTGAAGAGCAGACAATAATATTACTCTTGCATCACTCATCTTCAGTGCTTCAACAACAGAGATAAAAAGATTATGTTCTTGCCCCTGTGCATCATATCATTAACTATAGTTAAAACCAAAGCTGTGATTATAGACGGAAAAACTTGTACAGTTAAATAAATATATTCACAGCTTTTGTTTTTAAAAGCCTAATAATATTAGCATTTATCATATGATTATAAGCAAATAAATAGCTACCTTTTGGACATTCATAAAACACCCATAACAGTAGCTTCTCAGTTGATGCACATCCCAACTCAAGGTTGTCATCAATAACACGTTGTATGGCATGTTCAAAGGATTCACTTGCATTATTCAAACCATGGTATTGAGAGTTTCTTATCTGAAAAACGAAAATAATACACAATCAATCACACATGAACAAAACAGAAAATGTTTAACAATGAACCTTGCTAGTAATATAAGACAGATTTGAAGCTAGTATGGATATGCTTCTCATCAGAATTTGGAGGATTCAAAAAAAAAAAACTAACTGAATGAGAATGACACCTTTAAAACAAGTGCCATTGTTGCTTGAAACACTCTTCTCGACAATATTTATAGTATATACATATATCTCTTTAATACCCTTGCCTTATCCACTACCATTGGAAGCACCCTGCAAAAGTAAAGGATCAATAAGTTTTTCAGCAAATGAAAAGAGAAAAATAAAAGCATATTCATATCTTCAACCAAAGGAACAATAGGAAATACCTGAAAAAGACCTTGTATTTTTCCATTTTTTCCAAAAAAGTCCTCAACTTTGAATTTTTTTTTTGTTTCAGAAAAAAAAAACCCTCATCCTTCTAAATGTTTCCAAATAAACCCTCACATTTTAAAAATTTTTGAAAAAAAAAAACTACCAGGGCCAGATCGGAAAAAATGAAAAAATAAAAGGTCTTTTTCAGGCAAAACTACAAAATATAAGGTCTTTTTTAGATTAACCCTAAACTATTACCTATATTATCTTAGATTTAATTCATATGTAATTTAAAATAAAAAAGGATACATCCATAAACAATTGCAAATTCTTTCCCTGAATACGACCATTGAACATCATGTACAGGTCCTTCTTTTCCTGCAAAAATTATAATAATTAATAATTAAAAAAAATATTATCAAATGAAATGTTACATACTTACATTCAGTGTATAAAGAAAGATAAAGTTACGTAAGGGCAGAAGCCCATTATGAGTTTCATCTAAAGTCAAATAATACAGCTTTGACTTTCCATAGTAACTCTACTCTGGTTAGTTTTATCAACATCTGATTGAACCACAACCAGAAGCCTTGTAGAACCATGGTTCCAATGTTGAGCTGTTGAACATCTGAAGAAAGTTCTTGTACTAATGGGCTCAAAGTAAATTGCGTAGATAAGAAAAAAAAAGATGTTTGATGTGTCAAAAATGTTACAAAAAGGAAAGTTAAAATATAGTCCTAAAAATGGGATGATTTTTGAAAATTGATTGTAAAATGGAAGTATTTGAATGTAAAATGCTTTAATTGGAAGTTTTTTCAATGTTAAATGCATAAATAAGAAAAACAGACGTTTGATGTTTCAATGAAGTTATACAGAGAAAAAGGTAAAGTATAATGTTAAATTTGTGATGAATTTTAAAATTTCATTGTAAAATGGAAGTTTTTGAGAGTATAATGCCTTAATTGTAAGTTTATTCAAAGTAAAATTCATAGATGAGAAAGAAATAAAAAAGATGTTTGATGTTTCAAAGATGTTAATGAAAGAAAAATGTAAAGTACACTTCTAAAAATGGGATATGTTTGAAAATTGAATGTAAAATGGAAGTTTTTGCAGATAAAATTCTTTAATTGGAAGTTTTTTCAAAGTAAAATGTATAGATGAGAAAAAGAAAGTTTGACGTTTCAATGATGTTACATAAAGAAAAAAGTTGAAGTAAAATGCTAAAAATCGGATATTTTTGAAAATCGAATGTAAAACAGAAGTTTTTGAAAATAGAATGCTTTGGTTGAAAGTTTTTTCAAAGTAAAATGCATATGAAAAAATGAGAAGTTTGATGTTACATAAAGAAAAAGTTAATGTGTAATGTTCATATGAGATGATTTTAGAAAAATTGAATGTAAACTGGAAGTTTTAGAAAATACAATGCTTTAATTGTAAGTTCTTTTGAAAGTGAAATGAATACATGAGAAAAGGTTAAAGTGCAATGCTAAAGACCGGATGTTTTTTGAAAATCAAATGTTAGGAAGTTTTTGAAAACAAAAAGCTTTCATAGGATGTTTTCAAAGTAAAATGCATAGATGAGAAAAAGAGAAGTTTGATGTTTCAAGGATGTTACATAAAGAAAATTTTAAAGTGCAATGTTAAAAATTGGATGATTTTAAAAAACTGAATGTGAAATTGAAGGTTTTGAATGTAGAATGCTTTAGTTGTAAGTTTCTTTCAAAGTAAAATGGATGTCTTTTGAAATTAAAATGAATACATGAGAAATAAAAAGTTTCATGTTTCAAAGATGTTATATAAAGAAAAAGTTAAAGTGCAATGCTAAAAATGGAGATGATTTATGAAAATTGAATGTAAAATACATGTTTTTGAAAGTAGAATGCTTTAATCGTAAGTTTTTTCAAAGTAAAATGCATACATGAGAAGAATGGAATGATTTTTGAAAATCGAATGTAAAATGGAAGCTTTCAAAAATAAAATGCATTGATTGAAAGTTTTTTTAAAGTAAAATGCGAAGATGAGAAATGGAAAGTTTGATGTTTCAATTATCTTACTGAATTTATGACACAACAAAATATAGACTGGTTTAGTGGTGGAACATACCTGGAGTATGAAATGAAAGTACTTTCCTATTTCTGGAGTATCACACAATTGCATCTTAGAATGTCAATGAGAAAATTGAAATTGAAAAAAAATAACAGCATCAGGAAATGACATACCTTGGACTTAATATGAATATTATTTGGTAAAGAAAATTTCTTCTCTCATCTTTCAAATAACATGTGATGACAGCTCCTACAAACACATACCAGAAAACATAAGTCAAAAGCCATACATAATCAATAATGTAATGGGTAAACTTTTCTAAATTAAAATGTTGTAAGAAATAAGAGTTCTGGAAGCATAACTTTAATAAAGGAAAAACTGAAAACACAACGCAATAGTGCAATCTTTTTTCTTGAATATAAAACTAACAAGTCTTATCAAAATTGCTTTGAGTAAACTACACGAATGGTCCCTATGGTTTGGGGTAATTTGCACGCTTGGTCCCTAACTTATTTTTTTAACTCGGAAAGTCCTACTGTTTGTTTTTATTACGCTATTGGTCCTTGTCTTACTTAAAAAGACTATTATTTGAATAGAAAAAAATAGTCGGATAGGTAAGGTAACGTGAGGGGGTTGGGGTGTGTTTATTTAAATATTTTTAAAAAATCAAGGGAAAAATAGTTTTTTAAGGTAAGACAGGGACCAAGCATGTAACAAAAACAAACAGTAGCGACCTTCCGAGTTAAAAAAAAAAAGTTAAGGACCAAACGCGCAAATTACCCTAAACCACAGGGACCATTCATGTAATTTAATCAATTGCTTTCTATATATTTGGATAAATATTGATGTAATTGGTTTCAAGAAATTAACCTTTGGAGATGTTGGTTCCCGGATGAGGTTGGGGTTTGAAGGGGCCCACCATGGTTTCAGGTGACAACATCCTGTAAAAGAGTAAAACATTAGTTTGTGTTCATGAAAATTAAAAGGAACAAACAACCTACAATTATAGTATTCCATAACAGAATTCCTAATCTAATAAAAAAAATTAGGTCAAACCCAATAAAAGTGTAAGTTTAATGCAACAAAGGAACTTCCTGCTTCTAGTAATTTGGTTAATAGATTAAAAC